TTAATAGGCGCAGACCTGAACGCTCCCAGAATCTTGCGTAATCCAGTGTTCTGAACTTTTTGAATTTCATCTTTCCAGACAGTCTCGTGGAGACAAATGCCTTGGAAATCATATGTCTTCTTTTTATATCGTTTAGATAGGTAATCAGTTTATTGTCCTTATATCAAATAGTTACATACAAAATTATATAACAAAATGACATATAAAGAAGACATATGATTTCAAAGGCGTTTGGTCCCAAACAGTTCATCTGTCACAACTCCAAATAAAATCATTCTTTTTAAGCAGAAAACATTGGAAAATAATAATTTGCAATGGAAATATCTATTAAACTAATTAATAATGGTTTGAGATCAACTTTTGCTAATTTCCTTGGATGAGCATTTGATTTGAAAGTACCGTAGAGATGAAAGTTGACCCCTTTTAATTTCAACCTTTGGTTCAGTGGTGTAGCGGTTTATCACACTTCGCTCACATTAATTGAACATGTACCGAAGAGGTCCCGAGTTCGAACCTCGGCTGAATCAAATATTTTTTTTGTTCAATTAATCAAGTTTATTATAATATATCAAAGTTTTTTTTTATTTTGAATGAACGTAGGAATAGAAATCTCTGTTCAGAATAATGTGCATTATAAGTATGACCGCTTGGCCCTGAACTCGCAAACTCGAGGCTGAATGAATTTTTCATGTTCCATCATTTGATGTGTTCGATCCAGACCTAACCCTGGTGCATTTACAGGCATACACGAACTTTTTTTTTTTTTTTTTTTTTTTTTTTTTTAATTTCTCCAAATCACACGACTCACAAGTATCAACAAAGGTCTACGATGTTTGCTCAAGTGTTGAAAAGAGGCGTTTCACATGGCCATCGCGCACTGTTGACAGAGGGTGTTGGCCGGAATGCTGTAGGTTATTCGCCACTACTCATTTCTAAAATGCTTTACCATCCACAAATCAATCGGTTCAAGCGGTCCGCCAACCCGGAAAATGAGGGCATCCGCTCCCTGGTGCCAGAGACAGGCGTAATTCAGTTGATTGATATCAACAGAAAGTTTCAGCCTAATGTGTCACTGGTGGATGTGCTCAAGAATCTCAAGGAGGGTGAGAAGCTCGTGGTGGCCAACAAGGGCAAGCAACCGCTCGATGAGGAGGGAAACCCGGCAGGTGATCCTGCCGTGACCTGTAAAATCATCCGGTCTGAAGTTCGCCAGAAACCAAAAAAGGCTGCTCGTCAAGCTGCTAATGTTCAAGAGTTGGAAAATGCAGAGCCAGAAGCAAGTCAGGCTAACGAATCAGCGCCACCGCTAGAGCTGCTCGACAAAGAAAGTATACGAAAGGAGAACAAGCGGAGGGCGGAGCTCAATGCACAGAAAAAGGCCGAGGCGCGTGCCAAACGGAAAGCAGGCAAGGAACTGAACAAGAAGAGTGGTCCTGCCAAGGTTAAATCAGTGTCGCTGAGCTGGACAATCGGACCCCACGACCTTCACTCACAGAAAAAATCCTCAATTGAATCGTGGCTGAGCAAAGGCCACACGGTGCAAATTGTGCTTGGCCGGGATACATGGAAAAATCGGAACATGAACTCGCCGTTAGAATTGGAGAAAAAAAATGTGCTGATCAAGGCATGCCGCGAGCTATGCGAGGAAGCTGGTGGCATCGAGCAAGGAATGGAGGGAGACATTTCAACATCCATTATTCTTACATTTGCACCCAGTAGCAACTAGACAACCTATCTCATCATTTTTTATATTTGTACATAGTAACTTTACCAGCTAATTGCTTTTTTAACGACCCGAGGTTTTGCGAACTGTGATACGGCTCGCCTACAAAGATGTATTCAGACATCTGATGACTATAATCTAAACGCATTGGCTCAAATGACTGGCCAAACCCCGTATATCTGGAACCTTTCCCTCCAGTAAAAACAGGAGACACATAAATGAGTCTTGAAGACATACTAGGAAGATGACGAGAGGCCCTATTCAGAACTTGACGCGAAATAGCCCAAATCGACCCTTGGCCATTGTTATAGAATGGAGAGCCAATAAATAACGTGCGCGTTGTGATTCTACCAACCAATCCAAAGCGCATGAATTTTATGTTCCAATGAGCGTACCTTGGCTTTATTTTGTATACAGTGTTTAGTAGAGTGTGCGAATCATTGTGGGTGATGGTAAGACCATAAACAATTCCGCACTGGTAGCACTGTCCATAAGAATGAGCACTATCACCTACAAAAAGCCAGCCATCTTCTGTGGCTACAAGAAGTGATTTTTCTAATGGACCAGAAGATCTTGGAATGATATCAAAGGAGGTAGAGTAGTGATCAAAGTTAGGCTCAAGGAAAATGTACAGTTTTCCAAACCCAGCAGACGTGACGGCCACATAGCTTTTTGAAATATTGTTTCCAGCTAGCGTAGAAACTTGGCCAATTGCCAGACTGGCGCCAAACAGCTCATAGCCATTAGATTTTGTTTCAGGGCACAAAAGAAGATAACTTATAAAATCTGTTGCGGGAAGTAACAAAGGAAAGAAGTTGGGTAATTCCATGAAAGGTTTGATATGGAAAACGAGCATTTGGGTGAGTTTCTGACCGGAAAGAATGTACACTTTTCCACGTTGTGGAGCGCTGCCATCATCGCTTCTTGGTGCCCCTACAACCAGGTCTTCTATCCCATCACCATCAATATCACCTGCTATTAGTGTCTCACCCACCAGCTTAGTACCCTTTCCTCCGTATTTGATGGCCCCGTCAGACCAAAACACTGAAAAAACAAGGACTCCTTTCAAGTAGAAATGGAGGGTCGAAACGCCAGGATGAGCAACAACGAGCAATTCAGTGTTATCTAGGTGGATTTTAGTCATCACTGAACCAAATGGAGAGATCTGACCTAAACCCAGGCTATTAGGGATGGGCTGTCGTAAGTCGATTAAGCTAATCCTGGATATATCCAAGTCAACTTCATTAGAAATAAACGATTTCACATCAAAAATGTAGACTGCACCTGTGTCAGGTGTTGAACACTTTTGACAAGCATGATTGGACTCGTAGGGCGCGACAACAGCAATCGAATATTTCTCGGGAGAAGCACCAAATCTGCCGACAATCATGGAGCTACCAAACTGTCCAAGACTCGCCGTCGATTGATAGCAATTAAACCTTTCAAAGGAGTGGTCCTTTTTCTTTTTGAGCGTTGAACACCCTGGAAAATGTTGTAAGTCGAATCGTGGAATGTTGCTGAGAGATGGCTTATATTCGTAATTGAGACCCTTCTTGCCAAAAAAAGTTGCACAAATCTTCCATGGGTTGGCCGAGATCTCTGATATAAACCAATCGTCTAGAGAGTAGCTACATCGCCGAATCTCCTCTACAATGCTGTGGATACCTCCCAGATAGTAGTCCTCAATGTTAGAAAACAGCCATGGTGATTTCACACTAACTCGGTAGCCGCCATATTTCCGGAAGCTCTAGAAAGTTATCAGCACATTGTTTTATAATGAATAATAATTAAAGCATACGGTTTCAAGTCGAAGAGCAGACTGGCCACGCGCCATGCAGTAAGTCAATGACAAATTTGTCAGTGTGTAGTTTAATTGAGCAAAAATCTCTAGTACGTCCTCTTTAGGCGTATTCCAACGGCCCTAGACACAGGTTAGCAAATCAATCCAAAAAGGTGTTGTAAGGTGTCTACTCTTAGCCAGTTGGAGCTTCCGTATCGGTCCAGCATAATCAAATCGCCACCAGTATCCAGAAACCTAAATTTGATATTAGGAAAATTCAATGACGCCCGTTCAACATGAACTGACCTGTGGGCTTTCTCGATGTTCCGGTTGAACTCGATTTGCGCAAGCGCATCAAGGAGGCCCTGGTTGATGCCAAGCGAATGCCAACTGACATCCGCAACCTGGTGTGTGAATAGTCCGTATATGAATGCTTTCAAGCTCATTGCTTTGTGAATAACCTTTCTGTCGTGGTTTTTATGTTGCCAGTCAATATGGCCGTACTTTGTCTTCCAGTGCTGGACAGCTGTGGCCAAAAAGTCTGGCCAATGTGCAGCCTCGGCCGCAGCGTTGTTTGAACCGCAAGAATAAAATGCATCGGGGAAAAAGGCACCAGCACGCATGTAGCGATCGTATCCATTGATGTCTCTGGGGAAGTAGGTGCGAGCACGGGCCAAAATGATCAAATGAGTCCTGGTGCGGTTAGAACCTGAAAGAAAAACAGCCATAAGAACATTATGTTACCCAACACCACAAGCTTGAGCAATCATAAATGCTGCAAAGAAACGTATTAGCCATAAAAATAGAGAGAACATGGTGGTGGCAACTGTAGAAGAAGAAGAAGAGAAGAAGCAGTTAGCTATTGTGGGGGCAAACGTCGTGTCATGGTGAATCATAACAGCTGCCAAAATGGGACGAAAACCCGACAATTAAAGAAATCGCAGACACTTTTAACTCAACTTCTTCTTTACCATCACCTTCCATTGCATCCATTGATACCATTCGCAACCGCTAGAACACTATTTAGCACTTTAATTGAACAACAAACAATTTCTATACGAATACTTGCCAAAAATGTCCAAAGATCTTTTCATCAGCTCGCGGCTGAAACCGAAAAACAAGGGCAAGAAGGCCGGCAACATGTCCCGGCTCAGCAACAAAAAACTCACAGAGCTCTCCGAGGTCGAGGAAGCGCTACGATCGCTCGAGCTAAGGGAAAATTCGGAAACTGTAAAGTCCTGTTCATGCGCTGCACGCAAGCACCCGTTGAATAATGTAACACCTAACTGCTTGAACTGCGGACAGATCATTTGCATGCGCAACTCGAGCTCTGTGTGCTCGTTCTGCCACGAAAAGCTGCTATCAAACGATGAGTTGCAGGCCATTCTGGCAGTTTTGCGCGAGGAGAAGGCTAGTATTGAGTCGGATGGTACGGCAGCTGCCCTGGACAAAGCAAACAGCACACTGAATCGACTACTGGACTACCAGGACTCTAGTGCGGTGCGTACCCATATTATTGACCAGGCAAGTGACTTTGATTTGCCTGGCGCGGGGCCAAACAAATGGGCAACAGCAACAGAACAAGCGGAGCAACTGAAAAAACAACAGCGCCTGTTTAAAAAGCAGCAGAAGCGTAACGATCGCATGCAGGGCCGGGGTGCCCAGGTCCTTTCCATAGATTTAAAGGGTAACAAGGTGGTCATGCGCGCAGCAAGAGAGGATGAGTATAGTGATTCAGATTCAGAGTCTGAATCCGAAGCTGCACCCGCAGCGTCATCTTCAGCGGAGACCAGCTCGAAGGCTCCCAAATCCAAAAAGATCGACAAAAAGCTGATCTCGCCCAGTTACAGCCGCCTGTTAGGCGTTGGCATCGACCATGACAGTGTGCATGAAAACGAACCGTCCCGATTGCAGGAGCCCGAGGAAGATGCTTACTTTGAATTTTAAAATGGAAACTAGTAGATTACAGAATATATATACAAAGTGGACTGAACTGATACAAAAGGGTGCTTGCGCTCTCTACC